TGATATAATTACATAAATATTGACCAGTTAATGAACTAGGCTTTCATGAAGCAAACACGTGGTATCAAAGAATGGATTTAGACGGAATTAACCATCAAATATACACATAATAGTATGTATGATCAATTATCAGCCCACGATAAAACTATTTGTGTATTACACTATTCATAAGATAAAATGTTGCGTCACCACACTAATACAGACACGTTAAATTGGAGTCACGGTGGCTCAGTGACTATAGTGCTTGCTTACTAACCAGGATGCCTGTGTTTTGATCTGGGAAACGTCACTGGGCTTTTCCAGCGTGTGTCAGTGATGCAGGAAAGGGGGCCGATGTTCCGTGTACACGCTGACGTGCCCCTAAAAGAACCCCCAACAACTGGGTTCGAAATAAAGACTAAGTGGTATCCCCGCTGTTCTGGCAAAATTTCGCTTATATCATACTGCATCGCGCATACCCATCTTCACTAGTTGAGTCGGCGCAGAAAAATATTTAAATAATAAATGCGCCCCCCCCCCCCGCCATCCCACTCGGTATATCGGTACCGTATCAAAGGTAATAAATGATGATGTTTGTATTATTAGATATTGCATATATACTCCACCGGATAATGAATGGGGTGGGTTGATATATTATTTTAATTGATAATGAATGGGGTAGGTATATTATCCCCAGGCGATAATGGGGTAGGTATATATTCCCCAGGTGATAATATATTGGGTAGGTATACATACCCCAGGTGATTATATATCGGGGTAGGTATATATACCCCAGGTGATAATATATGGGGTAGGTATATATACCCAGGTGATAATATATGGGATAGGTATATATACACCAGGTGATAATATACTATTCAAAAAAAGTAGGGGATATTTGATTTTGGGGGCATAATACTCAAATATGCAAATGACTACGAAAAAAGTCACTATAGAACCTAACAGAAGAAACATTTCCAGTTACATGTAACGCCCAAACGCACCAATAGCTACCGCATGGAATGCAGGTGATGCTTGGGATCATCATGGGGGTCCAACCCAAGATTTGCACGACTCTGACTTTGAATGTTACAGTCATTGTGGCATTGAATTCCAGGGTGGAAACATCAGTTTAATTGTTTTAGTGACCAGAAAACAAATTTTGATATGCGTCGGCTTACCCAAAATGAAAGGTTACGCCCCCTTGGCATGCTACAGATCGGCACAACACAGGCGGTTGTGGCGCGGACGATGAATGTTTCTCAGTCTGTCATAAGCAGGCTATGGTCCAGATACCGTGATACACAATCTGTACAGGACAGACCACGCTCAGGTCGACCAAGGGCGACAACTCAAGCCCAGGATCGATTTATCCGTACCTTGGCCTTGAGAAATCGTGTCATCACAGCAAATCAGATCAGCGCTCGTCTTCAAACAGACACTGGTGTGAGAGTGAGTGCCCAGACGATTCGGAATCGACTGCATAGGGGTCACCTTCGCGCCCGACGTCCTCGCGTGATCCCTTGTTTGAGAGATCATCACATTCAGGCAAGACGTCGTTGGTGTAGGGATCGTCAACACTGGGATAATCGACGCTGGAGCAATGTGATGTTTTCAGATGAGTCAAGGTTCACTGTTGATTTTTTGGACAGACGTAGGAGGGTGTGGCGTCGTCGAAACGAGCGCTTCCAAGACGTTAACGTCATCAGACATGATCGATTTGGGGGTGGTTCTGTTATGGTGTGGGGAGGCATCACTGTTGCTGGAAGAACGGCTTTACATGTTGTTGCAGGGCGTGTTACAGGCCAGTACTACCGGGACAACATCTTGGCAGTCCATGTTGTGCCGTTCGCACGACGTCATGGCCGCCGTTTCATCTTCCAGGATGACAACGCAAGATGTCACAGGGCCAGGATCGTTACAGGTTACCTCCAACAACAGAACATCACCACATTACCTTGGCCAGCACTGAGTCCCGACCTCTCCCCCATCGAGCATGTCTGGGACATGCTTGGACAGAGGTTACGTCAACGTCAACAACGTCCTGCCAATGTCCAAGAACTTGCTGCTGCGTTGCAACAGGAATGGGACAATCTGGACCAAAATGACCTTAGACGTCTCATTAGGAGTATGCCACGTCGGATCAATGCTTGTTTGGCAAACAGAGGAGGATTTACCCGTTACTGACTTGGTTGTGATGCTGTGGTAACTTTGCTGTTTGACCCCGGGTATCATTTTACCCTTATAATGGTCAGTCTGTGCCTTACTTAGTCTAACGATCATTTGGAATAAATCGATGAATGTGAACTTCATTTCATTTTGTCATTTGTTTCTTCGTCAGTTTCATTAGGTGACTTTAATAACACTTAAAAATCAAATATCCCCTACTTTTTTTGAATAGTATATATGGGTTAGGTATATATACCAGGTGATAATATATGGGATAGGTTGGTTAATTATTTTATTTGTATTATTAGATATAGTATATATACCCCAGGTGATAATGAATGGGGTAGGGTGATAGATGGCGAATGGACTGGTTTAATCGGCATGTTACAGAAGAAGGTCAGTATATAACTTTAACACTTAACTGACTGTGTTCTGATGATTGCAAACACGAACAGGGTCCCAACAAGCTGTACTCTCCTTGTTCTTGTTGATTGACGTGACAAAGAGTAGGGTTGCCTGTCCAACCTCGTGGGTTTTCTTCGGGGTCCTCCGGTTTCCTCCCACTGCTAAAGACCCCTACGCGTAAGCGAATTATGGAAATAAAATTGAACCATGTGTTAGTCCCGAAATGACCTAGTTTGTGTCCAGTGGATGTTAAACCCCATTTCTCTCTCTCTCTTGTTGATTGACCCAGTTCGATAAAAGTCTAATGTTCTACCAATTCAAATACGATGGACATGAAACTTGGTGTGTGTGTTCCTTGCACAAATGCGCATCGATTGAATGTGGTGTATCTATTCTAAAATGGATGCCCCATACATGGCCTATACCGCACGCTCGGAGGCATGTGTCCAGAGGTGGGTGGGGCCTCGGAACATGAGCCTGACTGTTAGTTTTTTATCGGTATGATCTTTGAGAAAAGACACTGTCGTTGTGTGCCATTTATTGCTGGGTTGAAAAAGAAACTGGCGTTGTGTCATTTGTTGCTGGGGTGAAAAAGGTACGGACGTTGTGCCATTTGTTGCTGGGGTGAAAAAGGTACGGACGTTGTGCCATTTATTGCTAGGTTGAAAAGGGTACTGACGTTACGCTGTTTATTACTGGTTTGAAAAGGGCACTGACGTAATGCTATTTATTACTGGTTTGAAAAGTGTACTGACGTTGTGCTATTAATTGCTGGTTTGAAAAGGGTATTGGCGTTGTGCTATTAATTGCTGGTTTGAAAAGGGTATTGGCGTTGTGCTGGATTGGGAAAAAGCTCCACCTTTTCTATGTTTTTGCTGGGTTGAAAAGGGTACTGACGTTGTGTCGTTTATTGCTGGGTTGTAAATAGTTGCTTAACAACACCAATACAGAAACGTTACACATGTTTTATTTTTTTATAAGGAGGTTGAAATGATAGTGGCTGCTATTGGTATATCCAACGAAAGGGAAGAAGTAATGGATTTTACATTCCCCTATATGTTTGATTATGGTACTGGTGTTTTTCGACTGCGGGTATCGCAAGATGATAAATGGTTAACCTTAATCAAACCATTTACCTGGAAGGTGTTGCTATGTATTGGTGTATCTTTATTTGGAGCAGCTTTTATATTTCATATTATTGAGATCATTAACCCCTTCTATCACACTTCACCTAAAGAATCGTTCTGGAGAAGGTTGGAATATTTATATGGAGCTATGTTAGCACATGGCAAGTGAGGTTTATTAATAGGGTTTCACAGGGGGCGAATCTACCATGGAGCTAATGAAGCCTAGGCATAAGGTTCCCTCAATCCCAGGGACTACCCCCCCCCCCTCGCCAACCCCAAAAAAAGGATTTAGTCCACAAATATTAACTTTTCTAGTTCATCCCGATTTTCCGACGTGGTTTCCCCTTGTCAGTCATGCAGGGCAGAGGGCGTGACAAAGACAGCTGTCTAGTCCTTCGGATGAGACGAAAAACCGAGGTCCCGTGTAAACATTGGAATGCACGTAAAAGATCCCTTGGCAGTTGGAATTCGATATAAGAGTAGGCGATAGTGCCGCTGCCCGGCAAAATTTCCCTCATAGCAGACTGTATGGCGTATGCCCGTCTTCATTAGCCCAGTATAGGAGCAGAACAGCAGGACGTTAAACCCCATTTCATTTCATTTCATTTATGTATCGACTGGACCCATACTACATATCTTTTATTACAGTCAACTGGTGTGGTTTCGATTCACGAGTTGTACGTGACAAGGAGTAGGGTCGTCTGCCTAACCTCATGGGTTTTCTCCGGGTCTTCCGGTTTACTCCCACTGCTAAAGATCCCTGCTCACAAGCGAATTATTGAAATAAAATTGAACCATGTGTTAGTCCCGAAATGATCCAATCTGTGTCGAGTGGACGTTAAACCTCATTTCTCTCTTTCTCTCTCTATCTTGTATATAGTACTTCCATATCTCCCACATCTACAAAAATATAAGGCAAAGATACTTTATTCACACCAGAGAGTTTGATATCTATGGCAATCCAATGCTGCAATTTGAATCAACATCTGCGATGGCGTGGCTAAGTGTTCAGCAAAGCAACAGTGATATGTCAGGGGACAACCCATTGAAGAAGATAACATTGGTTACCCAGACCTCGTTGCTGGTTGTGAAGGGTTCCCATAACCTTTCTAGCTACAGGGTCCCTAAAATGTCCGCCACTGGAGGTTGATGAGTTAAATCAATTACCCGCAGTGTATTCGTATGTACAGCGGAAATTTCCATTCGCATAAATACTTCAACACGTAATAAAAACTAAGCAAGATATTTATTTTAAAAAATATTAATTGGTGTTTAATTTGGTTTTAGGTAGCTCCAACGAACCCGAGGCAATGGCCGGACGAATATTTCTTGGGTGTTGGTGGATATTTTGTATAATTTTGGCAGCTTCCTACAGTGGAACTCTTATAGCTACTCTGACGGTGACTAAAGAGACGCTGCCATTTAATTCATTGTCAGAACTGGTTAATCAAGATGACTATATATGGGGAACATCAGCACAGACTCTCTTTATCCCTCTATTCAGTGTAGGTATTATGTGTGCTCGCCGTCGTTATCCCTTAGTGTAGGTATTATGTGTACACGTCGTCTTTACATACATGGTAAAACGAAAATGTCGCAAAAGCTCTAAAACTATAAAAAAAATTTATTATCAACAGAAGGTCAATATTGAACTTATTTCAAGTAATAATGACCATAACAGCATTGCAACCTCTCAGTGAATTGTCGTAGTAATGTGCCTTTACTCCAGTAGCCTTCAGAGCTAACAAATTGTTGCTATACATTTTTACTGAAGCCACCAAGCTGGCCGACAGTTGATGACCTATGACTCTAGAGGTTTTATGGTAACCACCAGGATTGTAACCATCCGACTGGTCAACAGATGACGCCGGGTTTTTTAAAGAACCCACCAGGTCGTCAAACAGCTCAGGGTTTATTTTCTACCCTTCAGCTTCGAGTTCTGAAGTATACTGTCTGTATTAAGTGTCCTCACATGCCAGGGTAGGTGGCTATGTTTAATTTCATGGCATGGTTAATTATATCTGGAGAACCTGCTACTACTTTTGGCCAACTATTGTTTACACCATTGATGAATGTGGAAACAATTTGAATGTTTCTTTAAATGGATCGTCCGAGTGGCTCAATAGGTAAGACATTGGCTCGTTATCCTGGAGGTCCTGTGTTAGCCGTGAAAGTTCATTATAATTTTCCAGCGTGGTCCCCCTTTTCAGTCGTGCAAGACGGGGGCCTGGCAAGGGCAACGTATAGTCGTTGGGATGGAACGAAAAACCAAGTTCCCATGTACACACTGACACATTAGCAGATGGAATTTAAGAGTAGGCCGTAACGCTGCTGTACGGGCAGGATTCCCCTCAAAGCACTCTGTATGGCGTATACCTGTCTTCATTAGCCCAGTCGGGACAGAACAGTAGAATGTTATTCCCGTTTAATTGATAATTCAATTTTTTTTTACAGGAAACAACTGATCCACCTTTCCAACAGATATGGAGGGGTATTGTGAACCAAAATAAAACGGACCCGAATATTCTGAGCGTAGATTCTCAAGTTCAGTACGAGTTAGCGTTAAACTCGCATTATGTTTTCCTGGCGGAAGGGAGTGTTTACGATAGTTGGATATCTCAAAACTGTGAATTTAAAATGATCAAAGAATCGTATTTCGCTTTGGATTATTCAATTGGTTTACAAAATAATTCTGCTTATACAAGACAGATATCTGAAATGTAAGCATTTTAAAATTAAATAATCGTTCACAAATTAAACATACATTATGTAAGAGCTAAATCTACCTGCAGCAGGTATTTCTTTGGGCCTGAAATGTTATCTAAATTATTAATTAGACATTAATTAACTTATCCATAATCATCTTGCGATGAAATTGTTAGCCTTCGATATTTATTGGATTTGAATACAATTTGTGATGGATAATTTAAAGTTAAAATGGATAATCGAGACTTTGTTTGTTAGCATACCAAAGTCAGTAATGACGACCAAGACTAACCTAAAATTTAATGGGTAATATCTCGGTTCAGAGTAAAGCAATTTGACTGAAATTGTCAACATAATTTGATTTTCATTATCTATTTTGTAACTGTTATAGCGAGAACTGTCAGCTCTTTATCTAATCTTAAGTAATGCCCCTTTAATATTGGGTGGGTCATGTTTCTGAATTCGTGGTGCAGGACAGAGGGCCCGACAACGACAGCTGTCTAGTCGTTCGGATGGGACTACAAACCCAGGTCCCGTGTACACACTGGCGTGCACGTAAAAGATCTCTTGCTGGTTGGAATTCGATATAAGAGTAGACCGCCATAGTCCCAATGCCCAGGCAAAATTCCCCTCATTGCACACTGTATGGCGTATGCCCGTCTTCATTAGCCCAGTCGGAGCACAGTAGGACGTTTAAACCCCATTTCCTTTCATTTCATTTCTGAATTCACTATCAATTAATGAGTTAATACAGATGAATATTTGCTATATATTTCAATTACAATAGAGTCTACACTACGGCGGTCAGTGTTACAATATTTAAAACTTGTCTGAATCAGCGGCAATAGCATAATATACTACACTCCACTCAATAATACTAGCGATATGACCATAATTTACCGCCACAAATACTTACTTGAATTGTTTTGGGCCGACGGGGGTGGGGGGGGGGTGGATGGTCAAAGGGTTAGCACGTGCGTGCTGTATCATAAGGCCTGTTATTGAGTCAACTGGCGTGGTTTCGAATCCCCGGTTGTACGTGACAAGGAGTAGCGTCGCCTGTCCAACCTCGTGGGTTTTCTCCGGGTCCTCCGGTTTCCTCCCACTTCTAAAGACCCCTACGCGCAAGCGAATTATTGAAATAAAATTAAACCGTATGTTAGACCTGAAATGACCTAGTTTGTGTCGAGTGGACGTTCAACTCCATTTCTCTCTCTTTTTTGGGGGGGCCGACACTATCCCCATGTTTCCAAATTAGATACTAGGCCGACCCCTAGTATCATCTTCTTTCCTAAAATACCGTTCAGGTAACCAACTGGAATATTTTGTCTATGATGAAAATATCCATGATAAGATGTTGAAGCCATTTGTTATAAACAAAGGTTTAATTAACGTAATGAAATATGGATATGTTTCTTATATTATAGGACATTATATGTACTAGAAAGCAATTTGATGGACATTTGGAAGAAGAAATGGTGGCCTTCAGGACAGTGTGGTTCCATGACCCAGACTGTGTCTAAAGTTATTGGCATAGCCTCATTACAGAGTGTGTTTTATTTTCTTCTAGTTGGTTTATTTCTGTCAGGAATAGCTCTGTGTTTTGAGATAATAACTGTTTCATCTAAGAGGAATAAAACAGTTATGGATGTCGATTAATTCCAGTGGTGGTTCATATGATGACCAAGTTTCGAGTGGGATATCTGGTTGTAATGATGTTATATTTTAAATCGCTGGGTTGTTGGTACCTTCTACTGGCGGATCTGGGCTGGTAATACCTTCTACTCGCGGAACTGGAAGCCGGACTGTCCCTGTTTTAAATCGCTGGGTTGTTGGTACCTTCTCTACTGGCGGAACTGGAAGCCGGACGGCCCATTCTAACCAGTATGTTCCTCGTTTAAACAATATTTTATTCGAATACGACATGAGAATATATAGCACTGATGTAATGAATTTGAAAAGAAACCGAACACTTGATGCATATTCTCATAGGTGGAGTTCACACTGCTAATGAACAAATGGATATGTGGTTGAGATAGAAAAGGGAATTTAAATAAATATCTTTTTGCACTGCACTGATACACATTTAAACTCTTTTGACAAATTTTAGTTGTTAGAGGCAACAAAATCCAATTTTGTTTAAAGAATAAACTTGGTGTCTATGAGACAAGCAATTGGACATTGTCGAATTCAATTATTTCGCCAAAATGTATTTATTATCATTGTTTGAATGGCCATTCCTGGTGACGTTTTGGATCACATTGTAGGCGTATACCAGAAGATCACCGAGATGTTATTGAAAATGTTATAGGCAAGGTAACGATATAGTTTAACACTGAAATTAGTCGAGGTGTTTGGGGGGCGGGGGGGGGGGGGGTATTTACTAATCTACTAGTCCGGATCATTCAAATAGTAGTTTTGAACAGATGCCAACATGACACTTTGTATTGCATGTACGAGTACAGGCTGAAAAGTTCTAAGTTTATCTGGGCAAGACCAGGCCCTGTTTCACAAAAAAAACTTAAACTAAAATCACTAAAATAGATTTTAACTAAAATCAAAATGAAATTTTAAATTTTGTGCTTTTTACGAAGATCGATTGTAACGCCGCTATTTTAAGTTAAGATACAATTTTAACTTACAATATTATTTTAGTGGATTTTATCTAAAATGCTTAAAATCGTTTTGTGAAACGCATCTATCTTAAGTTAGGATGGAACTTTAGTTTAAGACGATTTAAGTTTTTGTGAAACGGGCCCCTGTACAACGTCAATGGTGTACTCACTTTTGCCAACGATTTTGCAAGGCCTGGATGCCGGTCAAGAAGAAATTGTCTTCCGACACTCTCAAAAAAGTTGTTCACAGCTGACATGCCTTGGTCATTACTAGGAGAATGGCGACCGGCTAGTTCCTTTTTGATTTCTTGAAACAGCTAGTGTTCATTCGTGTTTACAAATCTGGCCAAAACATTAACAGAATCTGGTCAAAACATTAACAGAATCTGGTCAAAACATTAACAGAATTTGCTTCAAAACATTAACAGAAACTGCTTCAAAAAAATAAACATAATCTGGCCAAAACATTAACAGAATCCGTTTCAAAATATTAACAGAATCTGGCCAACCCATTAACAGAATCCGTTTCAAAACATTAACAGATTCTGCTTCAAAACGGGACCGATTGTCACGTGATGACAGGAATCTGACACGCGGCTGATCCGTAACAACGATCTCTGACACCCATACTTCAGAAATCTTTATTATTATTCCTAACTCGTAGGTGATAATGTACCCAATCATCTCATGGGATAGTGGACAATCGTGTATCAGTCATTACCATGTCATGCAGCGGGTAATGTTTTCTTCAATAGTTGCTGTTATGACGCGGTTCATCGTCATGGCGCTCTCTCTGTCACTCTTAAAGTCCACAGTTCACTTCTTTACTTTGGAAAATAAAGGTGGGATCATCCCTGAAATTGGCATGCATCTGTTAGGGGTTAGTCCCTTCGGTTGCAGGTACTTGATGACTACCCTACAGGCAGTTTTGTCTATTTCTGGTTATTTCAAGATGGTCTGGTACAAAGACAATAATAACACTACAGTTACGGTTCTTATGTTTATGATGTATTCAACCCAATTGATCTATCATTACCGGCATTTATTAGCCATCCCTATATTACATGTTAAAATTTAGCGAGTGTAATATATTTTACTCGTTTTCTCTTATCTATAGTGCCAGTCAATTATTTTTTTGAATTGTCAAGTATCCTCTCACAGTCTCATATAACAACTTTCGGTCTTCGAAGGAATTATTAGTGAGCAGAAACTCACCCGTGTATCTGTTATCACTCGTCACTTCAGTCAGTTATATAGAAGGATAACTCGTGTTTTCCTTTTGCGTTCGTCACTTCCGTTTGTTGAGCCCTTTATTACGCATCTATTGTAGCAATGATCTGTGTGTTAAAATTATATTTGGAAAGTGTTTAACCAGGGCCCTTATTCACGAAACCTATAACATAAGATAAAATCGAAATTTTAAGAAATCCTGCAACTTCATTGGATATATGCAAATTGATTTTACTGGTCAGCCAATCGAATTGCAGTATTTCTTAAAATTTCGATTTTATCTTAGTTTAAGTTTTCGTGAATAAGGGCCCAGTTCTATAACATATGTAATAATGACTGACACCAATATTTTTGTTTTTTTTAAACCTATTCACGAAATCTGTGATTAACGTGTTTAACCAGTTCTATAACATATGTAATAATGACTGACACCAATATTGTCTTTTAACCTATTCGCGTAATCTGTGTTTATCTACCGTTGATATTTTAATTGTTTTTTAACCTATTCACGTAATCTATGTTTATCTACCGTTGATATTTTAATTGTTTTTTAACCTATTCACGTAATCTGTGTTTATCTACCGTTGATATTTTAATTGTTTTTTTAACCTATTCACGTAATCTGTGTTTATCTACTGTTGATATTTTAATTGTTTTTTAACCTATTCACGTAATCTGTGTTTATCTACCGTTGATATTTTAATTGTTTTTTAACCTATTCACGTAATCTGTGTTTATCTACCGTTGATATTTTAATTGTTTTTTAACCTATTCACGTAATCTCTGTTTATCTACCGTTGATATTTTAATTGTTTTTTAACCTATTCACGTAATCTCTGTTTATCTACCGTTGATATTTTAATTGTTTTTTAACCTATTCACGTAATCTCTGTTTATCTACCGTTGATATTTTAATTGTTTTTTTTTTTTTGTTTTTTTTTAATTAAATGTAAAATAACCAATCTGATTAAAATACAGGGGCCTGTTTCACGAAATTTTAACTAAGATAAAATCCAAATTTTAGTATTTTGTTTCGTTTCTTATACTTTCGATGGCCTACACTACATGAAGATCTGACAGGTTGTTGCGATAGGTCACGTCAGTGGTCATACGGGAGGCTTTTGACCCTATGACCGCAGATATTTGCTTAACCAATCAGCATTGATGTTACTAGTGGATTACCCCAGTTCTGTGCAAAACACTTCTAAAGCACGGTGTAACAGACCATTTCATTGGCTAATACCTCACATTATTCAGAACACGTCAATGATAACAACATTTCCAGATCCTAGTGTAGTAAAGACAAGTAAAACGAAATTTTGAACTATAAAAACGAAACGAAATAATAATCAGATTGGTAAAATAATCCATCTGATGACTAGCATGGTTTAAGCCGTGAGAAACATGATATCTTCCGAAACATTTTGATCACGTACCGCTACTTTAACACTGCGTGATCACTACCGGTACATCTCATTCAATATAAATAATATTGTGTATCATATGCTAATATATTCAAGCGACTAATTACATAGACAGTCAATATGTATAACTATATCAATATTGATACAGCCTTGTTAATTCATTAATAAGATGAAACTATAATCTGTTATCAATACAACCATTATTTATTATTTACCTGTTTGTAATTTTATCACCAGGTATTGTTGATAAAGTGTTAATAACAATATAAATTCATCAGGGATTATCATGTCTTGTAATGTTGATATAATGTTAATAAAAATATAAATTCACCAGGTCTTGTTTTAAGACACGCATTATATTCACGATTATTGTAGGTCAGTAGACTGAATGAAATATTCCGTCTTCGTTAGTGAGCTGGGCAAGGGACAACGTATAGTCGTTCGAAAGGGACAAAATATCGAGATCGCGTGTACACATTGGCCTGTACGTTAAAAACCCCTTGGCATTTGAGATTCGATATAAGAGTCGGAGCCGAACATTGACATTGTTAGTCCGGATTTTGGAAGGAAATTTAGTTTATTATTTTACTTTACTGCAACTGCGGAGTTAATGAGGAATCATACAATGAAGTCTGAAAATCTGAATGGGTAATTTTTGATTTTATCTTAGCCATGCGGAGTCCCATCAACAACAGGGCGAGGGGGAGGGAGGGAGGAGGAGGGAGGAGGAGGGAGAGGGTGGCCGAATGGTTAACGGGTGCGTGTTGAATCATAAGGTCTGTCATTAAGTCAAATGGCGTGGTTTCGATTCCCCGGTTGTTCGGTCGCCTGTCCGTCCTCGTAGGGTTTTTCCGGGTCCGCCGGTTTTCTTACACTGCTAAAGACCCTTCGCGCTAAAATTGAACCCTATGTTAGTCCCGAAATGACCTAGTTTGTGTCGAGTGGATACTAAACCCCATTGCTCAATGCTCTCTCTCTCTCTCTCTCTCTCTCTCTCTCCCCCTCTCTCTTGCAAACACTACACAATTCGGCAGTTCGACCTACAACAGGCGCATCATATACAGGTCACATAACACCAGTCTTTTATAAATTACATTTGTTATTAATAGTTTTTAGGATTGAATGTAAGATTTTATTATATAAGTTTAAATATCTGAATAATCCTGCACCCTTTTATAATTCGAATCGTTTATGTTTTTATCATCCCTGTCGCTACTTACGTTCTTCAAATGGTTTGTTTCTTCTTAAGGAGAAGTATGCCAGTGTTGCGTCTTGTGGGGAAAGAGCATTTGCGATTATAGCTCGACGACTATGGAATGATTGACTTCCATTTTATTCGCAGCAAAAAATCATTCAATCTGATTAAAACACAGATCCTATTTCGCTTCGTTTTTTATAGTTCAAAATTTCGTTTTACTTGTCTTTACTACACTAGGATCTGGAAGAACTGTTATCTTTGACGTGTTCTGGATGATGTGAGAGATTACGGCGAACTTTTGGCGTGGGGAGCACGAAAGTATGGGTAATCCACTAGAAACATCAATGCTGAGTTAATCAAATGTATGACGTCATAGCGTCAACAGCCACTCGTACAACCCCTGACGCAACCTTCCAATACAACTTCTCAGATCTTCATGTAGTGTAGGCGATCGAAAGTATAAAAAAAGGAAATATAGACCTGTATTTTAATCAGATTGCAATTCAATATCAAATTATAAATCTCAGATAGCTAACTGTTAATTATCTGAATCATGTAATCTTTTGTTTCATGGATTTATACTTTTACCTATTGCTTATAGTAAAGCGCGTTTGATCATTCTGTGGAAATGGTGCTAAATAAAAATTCTTAATAATACATCAGAAAGCGGAGCGACGATTTACTTGGTGTCCTTAGTGTCCAGGTATTTAGCATTCTTTCATTTGTATTCACGTGACTTCAGTGTGTCGACCCATCCGAAATACTAGACTGAACGATACTCTTTACCTAACCAGACTCGTTCATCTTGCATATCTGCCAAGCGGACATCTGGTTGTACAACTCCGCTAGGAACTTTCTTGTCCAACACCAGGGACGAATCTTAGAATTCTAAGTTAGTAATTCAACGTTAGACTAATCGACCCGCAATATACAGATGGCGTCCATGAGAGAAACAGAATTAACCGACCCGCAATATACAGATGGCGTCCATGAGAGAAACAGATTAACTTACACTTTGTCGTCGGAAATAAATCAATAGACAGATACCTATTATGTGTATCGGTAAGATATTTTATAAGATGACCTTTGTGCGAGATAGGAGCTTTGAATCTGACAAACTAGAGGTTGACACGTAAAACAAGTCGACCATGTTTGCATACAATACGTTATCATGATTATCATTAGCAATAGAAGTTTTATAAAGACCTACTTATTGATTGTTTCTTTCTGTTTATCGTCTACATGTTGAACTATTACATACATACATATACGTTATATCAATATACTTACTTCTACATGTTGAACTATTACATATACCAATATACTTACTTCTACAGGTATCGTCTATGTCTTTAAATATTAACACACCTGCTTTAAATCAAGTAGTTCATCTAAATATTGACACACCTGAATCGACAGGTGATCTAAATTGTTTTAAATCAAGTAGTTCATCTAAGTTATAATATACGATTTGTTATTGACCAACTCTGCTTTTATAAGTAAATCGTAAACATTTCAATTTGAGACGAGGGGAGGGGAGTGATGGGGTGGGGACCTCCACCACATGAGAGAGAGAGAAAGAGAGAAAATGAAGTTTAACTTGAAATCGACACAAACTAGGTCATTTCGCGACTAACATATTGTTCAATTCTATTCAATAATTCGTTTGCGCGGAGGTATCTATGGTAGTAGGATGAAACCGGAGATCCCGGAGAAAACCCACGAGGTTTGACAGGCGACCCTACTCCTTGACATGTACAACCGGGGAATTGAAACCATGCCCGTTGACTCAATGACACACATTGACTCCACCACATGAAACAGAGCAGATACTGTATTCGGACCAGAGTGCACGATTCCACTCTTATATAATTATATCATGAACTATTCCACTCGTATATAATCATTTCGTTTAAGTGAGTAAGTGAGTAATAAATATTTCGTTTTAACGATTTAATATTTTGTTATAACGAATTAATATTTCCTTATTAAATTATTATTGCGTTTAAACGAATTAATTATATAAGAGTAGAATAGTTCACGATATAATTATATAAAAGTGGAATCATGCACTTAATGGGCTCCGTACAGGCATTGTTGATAACGATTATTGGGATGAATGTAACACATGCTGTAGATGTCATCGGTATCTAACTTAGAGTAAATAAAGCGAGCCGAAAATAATTCTGGGGAGACATTAAATTCGTGCCACAAATAAACTTTTCCCAGTTGCAGTCAAGCGAACATTGTGTTACGGAAACGTTTCAGAAACATTTCCTAAACCCATTTTGACCACTTAGGATATTACTTGCTATGAATCTAACAGGAATGTTAGAGTAACGTATCCTACAACTTTTGTTAATAACGTTGACTAACGACCAAATGACACAACTATATCTTTTGTTTACCCAAATTGATATAGTTATATCTAGCGCTTGCCCATATTGAACATAGCTTATCTTGATGTCTTGTGCTTACCCCCATTTTTACTCATATGGACCATAGCTACGCTTATATCTATGGAGCTGTTTTAGGGTTAAGAAAATAAAATTAAAACTATGTGTCTGATTGCAAGCAGTGTATTTAATACTATTAGTTTATGGTATATACGTATATCATGTATAAGTATTGAATACTATTAGTTGATGATATATACGGTGGTGTAGACTATCTTTACATTACCCTCCGCTCATGACTTATCTAGCCTGTTGGTTCTCCACCAGTTGGTGATGGTGGTGCCGTGGGAGCTGTAAATAGAAGAGGAGGACAGCTTGCTTTTCTAGTACGACCATTGTGCCAAATAAAATACAAAGGTTCGCAAGCACAGGCAATGTCACCAATATAAACTGTACCATTATCAGGAATAATATGTGTAACTCCATTTAGGACAGCTTCACAGTTAGGACCTGTTAAAAAGTCAAACATATTAATAAGATTGTTTTGTCTAGACCCCATGCCTTAAAATCTATTGAAGAAACACATTGATCAATTTTATCAATTATATCTGAAATTATTAAATTATTAACCAATCTCTTTCATCTGGTCACATTTAAAAATCAACAGTTAAAAGAAAACGTTTCTAAAAGATGGGTTTTAAGATTCTTTTTAAAACTGTCAATTGATGCACAGTACTTTAGTTCTATAGGAAAATCATTAGAATTCCACAGTTCTGCTGCCGCAAAAGCAAAGGAGCGTCTACCGAAAGAAGAGTTTGCAGTTACTGATTTAATAAGGTATTTAGTTTCGGAACGAAGATTTCTGGTAGGGTGGTAGGGCTGAATTAATTATTTAATATATAGAGGAGAGTCATCACATGACAAAGCACAGAAAGTCAGCATGAGAATTTTAAAATCGATTCTGATCTTAATCGGTATCCAGTGGAGTTCATTCAAAACGGGGGTAATATTTTTGGTGTATAATTTAGTTCTTGTGACAATTCTTAAAGCTTTGTTTCGAATCTTTTGCAGTCTATTAATTTGATATGCTGGTAAGTTGTATTCTGGTTACAACCGAAATCTATCTCCCATTCCCAAAACTAATGGCGAGGTTTGTTCTACATCAGTGAAATAATCAATTTTATTCCAACAACCTCGACAATCTATTACAACCCGCCTACAAACAATACCACAGCGCAGAATCCACTTTACAATCGGGCTAGTGATCAACAGAAATGTGTTCTGTTGGTACTTTAGATCTCTCAGTCGCATTTGATACGCTCGATACCATACCGAGGGTCTACTCGACTCATTATGGCGTGGCTGTTTTAACTGGTTTTAATCATCTAACCAATACCACTAAAACTGTCAGGTTCTGTAATCGGGCCTGTACTTTTCATTATCTTCACAAAGATTATTACTAAGATTGCTAAATTCTGTTGTCTAAATATACCTCCAATTGTATGGTGCATAATTCCATGATACAAAATATAAAACTATATCTCACAGAAAGTCTTGCTTGGATAGCATTTGTTAAATTTAATTTCAAACGAAACAAAATCGAACTAGTAGTAATTGGAACACAGCAAAAACTCTGTAAAATTGATCAAAGAAATAATACCCGGGACCACATGAAGCTCGAAATATTATTGCTATATTAGACCCGATTCTTTCGTTTAAAGATCATATGCAAACTCCGAAGCCTTCTATAACTACGATGGTTAACGCGAGCGCGTATGATCTTAGGGTCTGTCATTAAGTCCAGTGGCGTAGTTTCGAAACGTGATAACGCGTAGTTTCCTTCCACTGTTAAAAGACCCCTGGGTGCTAGCGAATTTTTGAAATAAAATTGAACAGTTGAACCATATGTAGTCCCGAAATGACCTAGTTTGTTTCGAGTGCACATTACTCTCTCTCTCGCTCTCTCTCTCTCTCTCTCTCTCGATGATTTTTATTTGAAGCATGTCCATATGAACGTACTGCTAATGCAATGCTATGTCAATACGGTCCGTTCCAATGAGATTAACCAATAAGCGAAGATTAAAAGCGTGTGAATATATTGTTAATAACGCGTTAATATGTAAGGATAATGAAACAAGCATTGATTCAAAACTTGAAAAGAGCTCTGCAAACCTCATTCGACAATTACGATCCCAAAAAGTCTGAAAGTCTATTGTATCTCTCTGTCTGCTCAATTGACCATTTCCACTAATAATTTTTAAAAAAAACTATTGAGATATTGGAAGTAATTAGGATCACAAAATTCAAAACTCAAGATTATAAGAATCGAATATCAAACAGGGGAATATTTCAAAAGAATCATGGGAATGTTCTGAAAGTATTTTCTACGTTTATAAATCTATTTAACTAAAGGTATCATTGGGATATCGCAATTGTTGTTAAAGTAGCTAAGTCTTTAATTAAATATCATCCACAGTCTTCGACATGACAAACACGACTTATAATTTGCTTGCGCGTAGGGGTCTTTAGCAGTGGGAGGAAACTGGAGGACCCGGAGAAAACCCACGAGGTTGGACAGGCGACCCTACTCCTTGTCACGTACAACCGGGGATTCGAAACCACGCCAGTTGACTCAATGACAGACTTTATGATACAGCGTGCACACGCTAACCATTCAGCCATCCAACCCCCCAAATCAACATTGATGTTGTTATCTTACCGTGAAAAGATTTGATTCTGATATCCAATATTTAAGATACAGTGAATATTTTAAAATGCCTGTGAGACTAAACATATCCCAAGGGCGAATACTATAGCTGTATACTGGAATAACTAAACGTCAAACAATGCTACTCAATTGGGACATAACCGATTAGTATCACCCCATGTATATTAAAATAATTTGAGATATGTACGTAGTCAAATTATCCCGACTCGCATTGAATACGTTACCATAGTACCTGGAAGAATCATATGTTAGTCTCATCTTACCCTAGTTACAGATAAAACCATTGGGTAGTTAAATCACCGGTCTGGTGACTGTGCTGGTGGCCAGTTGACTATAATTAGTGATGGATATTGTGCAGGAGATAGTTCATGTTTTCAGTTTCCAGACCACCCTTGGTCCCTTCGCGGTTTTTTCGTATCCTCCGAACGATTAGACAGTTGTCCTTGTCGGGCCCTCATTCCTGCACCACCGACAAGGGGAAACCACGTCGGAAAATCCTGATCAACTTTCTCGGCAGGGATCGAACACCCGACATGCAAACTAGCGAGCCAGCGTCTTACCCAGTTGGTCACCGTGGCTCCCTCTCCCCTCATAGCACACTGTATGGCGCGACACGCGACCTCCAGGCTAGCGAGCCAGCGTCTCCCCAACTTGGTCTCCGTAGCCCAAAAATAACACAATATTGTATTAAGAAAAATATCTTACCATTAGGACATGTCGGACAACATATGTCATCATGAGGAATATTAAATGAATCAACACACGGGGTGGGGTAACAATCAACAGCTATTTCATATACTCGATATTGTGCATCGCATTCACATATTTCACAATCTGTTACATAATGTTTGTCTCCTGGGAATATCTCCAGCCCATCCCTACAGATACATGTCGGTACAGGCGTCGTTGGGTAAGGCGGTGGCATCGCCAACGACCATGCTGATAATAACCATATCAATACAATTTGGACAAACATTTTGGTAACTAGTGAGATCGAGAGTAGAAATCATAGACTTTATATTACTCAAGTAATTCCTCAAGCCATATGTTACCAACACATTGTCAAAATATTTATTGAAACTTACCTGCATTTCTGTCAGTTTGATACAAGTTCTGACGACATGGTTATTTCATTGGTTTAACTTGACAATCACCCACAAAACATCAATACGACATTGATGTAATCCTTGCAGTTAAAGGCGCATCATGTAATATTAGTTAAAGAGCTGGCAGTTCTCGATATAATAGTTAAATTATAGATAATGACAACAAATATGCTGAATATTTCAGAAAACTTACTTCACTCTGAAACGACATATTAGCGATTCAATTTTAGGCCTATAGCCTCGATCGTCATTACTACCGTTAGTATGATAATAAAACTATTACATTAAATTATCAATCACAAAACGTATTCATTTGGATAACATTTAAGGTCTACAGAAAGACTTTCAATAGACAGATTTAGCTCTTGTATAATGTATGTTTATAAAGTAATTGTAATGGTGAATCAGCTAATAGATGAGCATGGTTATTACACATTGCTTGCTGAAATATTTTATCCATGATCTCCAGATAGGTGTTAGGAATTTTGACATGAGTTATAGTGGGTAAGGTAAGATATGGTCTGACGTGGTTCTAGAGCATAAGATCTCTAATTGAGTCAAGTGGCGGGGTTTCGATTCCCGTTTATACATGGCACGGATTATGGTTGACTGTCAAGCCTCGTTGGTTTTCGCTACGTCCCCCGGTTTCCTCCCACTTTTAAAGAGCCTTTCGCGCAAGCGAATTATTGAATAAAATTGAACCATGTTTATCCCGAAATCACCAAGTTCGTGTCGAGTGTACGTTAAACCGAATCCCTCCCTCTCTCTCTCTCTCTCTCTCTCTCTCTCTCTATTTTACACCTGTCAAAGACTCACAACTGCAATAGGTAGACAGGTGATTTTATTTTCAACATGTGTGTCAAAATAATTTCGATATATGATTGTTGTTTTTTAATCTTGATATTAAAACTTGGTAAACAGGTGATTGTATTTTCAACATGCGAGTCAATATGTCACTAGATGAATTTTTTAAACATCATATTTTTATTTGTGCCATTTCGATGGAATGACAGATGAAAGATGATATATGATTAAATCGACATGGAATATACAAACACCTGAAAGCTGCTGTCATCTATTAACAACAGACCTAATATGAATGTTATTTTCTATATTAGCTATGTGTTTTATAAACGATAGATATTTATTCTTTTGCGGAGTATTATTTTTAATTTTTTCGCTATAGATATAATATTTAGTTAAGAATAATAGATGGTTTGTTATGGTCCACTCTGACCTATTAAGAAATGTGCTTTGGTCAATAAATCCAAAGTGAATATTTTGCCTTTTAAAAACGATTTCTATATCTAATTTATTAATTAGTTTATGAAATGCAGACCAAATTTTACTAGAGTAATAACAGTAGTAGAAAAGATGTTCTATGTTTTCAATGGCGGCACTGCAGAAATCACACAAGTTAGAAGACTTTAATTTCCATTTGAGTAAAGTATCGTTTGTATATATTATATTATGTAAATACTTATACTGAAATGTTCTAGTTTTGTGTCCGGTAAAATTTCATAAATTAATTTAAAATATTTATAAAAAATCATTGATAGTGATGACCTCATTTAAAGACGTCTGCCATTTTGAAATCGATGTTGGATGAGTAAGTTTTTCTAGGATTAATTTATTGTACACATCTTTAGATTTAATTTTACAGATTGAATTATTGTATATTATGTTTAATATTTTATTAAGATAGTCACAGATTGATGTCGGGCTAGGATTATAGATACAAGTGGAAAGGTTTAATAGCTTTCCTACTTTCGACTTGATACCTTGAAAAGTTAATTTATTTTGTTCACTGTTATAGTTATCAGTATTTAAATCTTTTACATATACAATATTATCATTTAATAGATTTGAATTATATATTAGCTTGTTTTTTATTATTATATTTTTATTATTCCAAATAAGTTGATCGTCAAGATTATCAGTAGTATCAATGTGGCTTGTAAATACATCTTCCCAATTTTGATAGAGATTTTTATAGAATGTTGGTAGTTGTATTAGTGTCGATTTATAGTTACACATTGGCAATATATGTCCACCGTACTCTTTTAGCATAAGGTTGTATAGTATTTTCCAAGTTTGTTCTGCTTTATCATCTACAATTTTCTTTATCCAAAACATACATTGCGCCTTTAACATTGATTCAATATCAATCATTTTAAGTCCACCTTTTTCATAGTTTTGAATTAATACATTTCGTTTAATTTTATCATTTCCATCCCAGATAAATTTGTATACTATTCTGTTAAATTCTTTAGTTAAGTTAACAGGAATTGGTAGTGATAATGAAGGATATAAAATTTTTGGAACGGCAAATGTTTTTACAATCTGTATTTTTCCCATTAATGATAGACATCGATTGTTCCATTTACTTAAGGTTTGCTCGATTTCTTGATATTTATCGTTGAAGTTTAATTTAAATGATATATTTTCATCACAGGAAAAGTATATTCCTAATATTTTGATGTAATTTGTACATATTTTAATTCCGAGAGATTTGATTTCTTCATCATTATTAAAGTTTTTATAATTTAGATTATATATTTCAGTTTTTGATAAGTTGATTTCTAAACCTGAAATTTTATAAAATAGTTTTAAGACCTCAAGTAGATGTCTTGCAGATTTATAATCTCTTAAAAATACTGTCACATCATCAGCAAAGGCTGTAACCTTAATATTTTGTTTTCCAAATTGTATTCCAAATATATTTATGTTATGTCTTATCTGATTTAATAGTATTTCAATGCAAAGATTAAAGATACTTGAACTTAGTGGATCCCCTTGTCTAATGTCATTGTCATTATGGTCAGATGTTTCTGATACTTATACTGACTTTTATTGTTTATTGTTTAAAACGTAAATTCTTGACATCAACATAAAGCTAGCTCCATCATTTCTCTGTTCTGGAAATATTTAGGGGTTGAGTAAACATTAGTGGTGGTGATATTTTAAAGGATATGGGGGAGGGGGGGCATTCGTTTTGGGCTACTGCATTGAATCAAAGTTGATTCAGGAAAATTGTACAACTTGCCTGACACAGAAACAACTACTTACTGTCTTATGCTGTGGACGATGGTACGAATTGTGTTGTGCTTTTCGTGGGAATACTAAACGGTCGCTCCGTTAGGATCAAACCCTACATATCTTCCTTCTAACTAGTCAGTTAAGACGGTTGGTTAAATCTACATCAATTCTAAAATACAATAAAACAAAAACCGAGGTCCCGTGTACACATTGTCGTGCACGTAAAAGATCCCTTGGCAGTTGGAATTCGATATACGAGTACGTCGCAGCGCCTCTGTCCAGGCAACTTTCCCTCATATCACACTGCATGGCGTATGCCTGTCTAGAAGAACGAAACAGTGTAACAAGGGTGTGTCCTCTCACGACCTCGATGCTTCATACCAAGTTTGAACAAGATACGTCAAAACCTGTAGTCTATATATTGTACAAAAGGTTTACGCAAAGGCGGGGATTACTCTGAAAAGGCAAGTCGCTGAATATCGATAGGATTCGCCCTCTCATGAACAAAATGCTTAAAGCCAAATCTGTTTTTAAAAAAAACAATTTGGTATACACTGTAACTTATATTCGCGTTCACGGTAAATGGAAACCACATGGCTTTTGCATAATGGATATTAACTCTAACACGAAAGATTCTATAAAGTTGAAAACCAATGACCAGGTTGACCGACGGACAGGGTGCGGACCTTGTGACGGTGTATCAAAATTGAATGTCATGAGATAAGAGAAAACGAGCAAAATAGAAAATGTCCGTGCATTCCCTAGTTTTATCAATTCTCTATTTAGACATTTTATAATAATACGACTTTATCCATTGGATTTGCTGAATAAACTATAATTATCGCTTGGAATGTGAAAGTAGAGAATTAATAAAATCAAGGGAATGCTCGAACTATTTCTATTTTATCGCATTTTGTTATCTTGTGACCATCAATTCGGTGTTGGCCGAGAAAGTTCATCGGGAATTTCCGGCGTGGTGTAGGACGGCGTGCACTTAAAATATCCCTTGGTAGCTGGAATTCGATAGCCCGTAGTGTAGCTGTCCGGGCAAAATGTCCCTCATAGTACACTGTGTGGCGCATACCCGTCTTCATTTATGAATGTTTCGTACAGATGTTCGTCTTGGAAAGGGAAAGGGAAAGTTGTTGAATATCGATAGGACTCGCCCTCTCCTCTCATGAACGCTATGCGTCAAGCCTATTTTTAAAGAAAACTGTTATACATTGTAGCTCCACACTAAATTTGAAAAAAGATCCGTCTACACCTATAGTTTTTATTTCGTTCACAAGGTTTAGGACAAACCCTCCCTTGAACGAATTGCTTAAAACCAAATGGGGGACTATTCCGGAACGGAAAGTCGTGGAAAGCTGAAAATCGACAGGTTTTTCCGATTCGTACTTCAGTACTTACAACCAAGTTGGAAAATGTTTCGTTAAAAAAAGCCTAAGGGTTTCTTCCTATTATGACCTGGTTGCTTCACATTAAATTTAAAAAGAATCCGCCCAAAACTTTAGGTTCAATCGCGTTCACTAGTCAATTGTAGACGGTCCGACAGACAGGGGAACACATAATATGGGCGTATAAAACTTGACTGTCCGTTGTTTTTGTTAATTCTCTATTTAGACATTTTATAACAATACAACTTTATCCATAGGACTTCCTGAATAAACTATAGTTGTCGCTTAGAATGTCTAAGTAGAGAAATAACAAGGGAATGCTCGAAATTTCTCCATTTCTCTGTTATCTTTTTATGAATAGTTTGTTTCGAACAGCTACCTCCTGACAGTCTTTATAACAACTGTTTGTCTTTTTACTTCAATAGTAAGGATAACTCGTGTTTTCCTTTCTTTGCGTCACTTCCTGTAGCAATGATATTATGAGTTAAAGTTATACCTGGGGTGTGCTTACCCCCCCCCCCCCAAGAACACGATTCCACTCCTATATAATTATATCGTGAACTATTC